GTTATAATGCGATTATATTATATTTTGATTTCTGAAAACAGTAGATGTCTCCACCGCTTTCCTGATGTCATTTATCTAGAAACAATAAAATAAAAAACATACACGGTAATGGAGATTAATAAGTTACGTGTCAGAGTAATAAGAATCTGATACATTTACATACAGCGACACTTTCATTGGGATCAGATTCCGCGAGACAATATGTATCCATTTACACGCACGCGGACTCACTTTTCTACACGTAATGACAATGTAATGTAATAATTAAGTTCTAGTAAATATATACAGTACAAACATGTTCGATTTTACCTTAGTTTCATAAAAATAAGTCGGAAGTTGCGGGATAATCCGAAATAGTAATCTTATAAATGCACGTTTCCTGGTACAGTGATTAAGTGCACACTGCTGGAATCTGATAGAGCTTTATATCGATGATGTGTGCCCGAAGAACACACCAAGTCAAGAGATACAATAGTCATGGATACAATATCAATGTAATGTCATAATTAAGTTCTAATAAATATATACAGTACAACCATTTCGATTTTATCTTAGTTTCATAAAAATAAGACATACAATACAATTTTACATGATACAAAAAGAATATGTAGTTAAACATGAGTTTGAAGAATATGTAGTTAAACATGAGCTCAACAGACAACTTTTTCATATATGAAAGTATCACATCAAACACATACTCGAGATGAGACATTTGAAATCAAAATATTCTGATTACATTGTAACTAATAAACCAGTCATTCTGACCTCTTCTCTCAATGTACAGCTATGATCGTATCTATACTTTCAATATGTATCTAATTCTAAAAATTAGAAAAAGATGAACAGTAAGTTAAACAGAGATTAAAGTTAATCTGCATTGGTGGAAACAGGCATTATATATACTAGTTTTTAGAATAATGCGTATTATACTTAATTGTTCTTAATGCAAAACTCATGAATCGATGACACTAAAATTGTATATATCTTATCTATATACATGTATACTATATTTGTCATAAATAGCCGAAAATACGTTAATTAGGCAATATCTTCTTTACGGAAACCACTTGTGGTTTCCTCGGTCTTAAAACACGTTTATTTGTTTCACGTGAATGATCACTCTTGTCTGAACTACTGCTATTTTCGTTTTCCGATATAAATTCTATAAAATTTTTAGACACTTTTCTAAAATTTTGTCTTAATTTTACTCGAAATGATTTATTGGATTCAGAAGATTCGAATCACTCTTTAATTAGTGGTTCAATACTTTTCTTTGTCAGCGATTTGTCAATCCTCATTACACTATTATTTTGTTGGACTAAATTTTCTGTTTCGTGATTGTCGTCTCTACTAGTCCTCACATCGGTATTTGGGATACCATTGGGACACAATTCGTTATTCTTAAAAAAAAAAAAATTGAAATTGAATTATAAACAGCTCAAATAAATTAACAAATTAAAAATTAATCTCAAGCCGAAAGTACTGTTGAAAGACATTAAGAAAGATCCTAAATATACTGCAGTTTTCTCAAATTTGGATTGATGTTACGATAATTATTTATATGATATATGTACAATAAGACATATATACAATTATATACATAATGTAATATAATATGATACATATGATATAAGTATCTAACTATCTATAGTTCATGATACTTATATACATGTATATATGTATATACATCACAGATTTATGCCCATTCAATATCGTATTATATTCATTCCGAATAACAAGATAGTTAATATTAAAAAAGTAAAAACTTATTTCTCTCTATTTACACAACATATTCTTTTTATATCATGTAAAAATTGTATTATGTCTTATTTTTATGAAACTAAGGTAAAGTCGAACATGTTTGTACTGTATTATTTTAGTAATGAAATCGCACTACATTCAAGAGATTTCCAATAACCGCACGAATTCGTTTCATTAAATTATTAATGTTAATATATCTCATAGAAAATAAGATTTTTCTATGAAAATACAAGACTGACAAACATTATTGTAATGTGAGTTTTTATGACGTTGTAAATATATGTACAATAAATATTGTTAATTTTTATAAATTGACCAATATATGTAATCACATAATCCATTAATCATATATGTAATCATAACATAGAACTTATAAAATAAGTTAAGTTGATTCTATGAATCATAATCGATTTTCAAGCACACGCACGCGTGTGTAAGAGGCGAAGAGAACGTCTGTGAAGCTGGCCCCTCATTGTCAAAATTTTTAAAAAATAAACAGAGTTCTGGTTGCCCCCCCCCCCCA